ACTGAGCATTTCACTAATTCACAGTAGACATTTTGAAAGGAAAGTAAGTGCTACAGTGAAAAACTACTATTAACTACAAACTCTAATTTACAATATATACTATATAATATAAAATACAATAAATACCCTTGGGGGGTCATATATTGAATGTGCACTTGTAATGTAAGTTACGTCAAATCTTATATTTTAAAAAAAACTGTACTCTCGGATATATCAAATAAATGGCTTAAAGAGATTACACTATTATGACTGTTCTTTAAAACACTTTAGTACGCATTTAAAAAGTGCACTTTGTAATAAATTCATACTAAAAGTTTTACTTTATAGTACATTTTAAATCGTTGTTTATATGAGGAACGAAGTACTCTTATGTTGATGTAGCCTATACTAAAGTGCTTATATTAATTTTAACTGTAGTGATATTTAAAGTTAATATTTGAAATACTAAATTACAAATGTATAATTACAAATAGAATACAAGTTTCAAAAGAAATTACATTATATTTTAGTATAGCATAGTTAGTATAGTACATTCGGCAGTACACTTTCACAACTATATTTCAGACAATAAGTAATTATGAAATTATAAAGTACTTAAGTCCTACTTAAAAGGCACTATTGAGTTCAACTTATTGCATTTAATATAACTTTAAACTATAATGTCTGTTCATTTAATTGTTATTAACATTTCGTTTGCATTGTATATTCTTTCAAAAATGTATTTTTCATAACACTCTTTTTTTAAGTATACTAAAGTGTACTTCTTTTTCACAAAGGTTATTTTATTTTAAGAGGATTTTTTTTTTTTTTTCAAATAAAAAGTATGAATAACCTTTTATTTTATGGGGAAATGTGCATTCCCAGAATGTATTAAAAAAGTAGCACTGCACTTTAGTCACCTCATGGATTTCTGTTAGATCACCACTGTTGTCATCAACACAGTAAAAACAGATTTTATTGGCTCAAATATGTTGGTGTTTTAACATAATATAATTTAATATTTACAGTTAGAAACTAAAATATCACCAAAATGTCTCCCATAATTCTTATACATACAGTATAACATTGTCAGTGCATTTTTTTTAAAGTTCTAGCAACCACAGCTGTCAGTTTTTAGCATAAATTTAACAAAAATGTTGTACAATGGATGTGCGAATACACAATTTTAAACGAGAACAGAGCGTTACAACATTAAACGGCTTCACTTTAAAGACATGTCGCCATTTTGCAGGCTGTCCCAATGATGACACAAGTAACAAGCTGAGGTCAGCCCTATTATGAAATCAGCTGCAATCCGTGGCTGCATTCTTGCACCTTCGTTTCAACTGTTATTTCAAAGGCAAACAGAATGTTGCACGAGATGTATCACATTGGCCGCAGAGCTGACTGAATAACTGATTAACAAATCCATTTATTACAAACGAAAACAATTGTTGGATAAAATGATGAAGCACATGTAAAGAAATTTATTTGCAAATTCAGACCCACCATTTGAGGAAAAAAAAGTTAGGCAAAACAACAACTATTTTCTGTGGTAATGAGCACATAATATTATAACCTATGTTTAAACAACATTCTTACAGATAATACTGAAATATCGGTACTTCAGATGACTCATCCAAAGGAAATACAGAAAAAAAGAGTATCTTCTGGTACATGAGTCACCTAAGCAAAACAAACATGGGTGTGTAGTTCAGTAAAAGACTAACATAATGACCTCACTTTGTAAAAAATACTATTCTGTAAAATAATAAGCACAATCTAAGACCATCATCAGTGTCAATGAACGCCTTGAGCTGAAACACAATATTTGAATCTTTACATCTACATTATGTGCTGAAACACAAAGCAAGTATGAGTTCATCTACTTAACATGCTCTCTGTGGACCACCTTACTGGTCTTTGAGCTGTAGTCTATGCAAATACACTTTGCGGATAGTGATCAGTCACATCAAAGATTTTCAGTGCACATCAGTGTCTGTTAGAGGATATTCTTGGCTTCAGATACATTCTGTATTGTGGTTAGGACAGTATCCACAGGAAAAGACAAGAAGAGGCTTTCCTTAAGCTTTTTTGCTGAGGGCGATTCCTCTGCGCTGAACAATGGGTTGGTCACAGTGAGAGTTATGGAGGGCATGTTTCTAGCCTTGCGTTTTGCATTTTTCTTTTCTTGTCTGTAGGCGACATTCATATTTGTAACTACCTGTATAGACAAAAATAACATTATCAGGAAACTAATTTCAAAGCTTGTCTGCACTACAATCAGTGTTTTTAGACATCCTTTTTGAATAAACGCTAGTAGTTACACATGCACTATGGAGAATGGGACACATGTCTAACTGATCTATTATTAGTAATGGGACTGGAGAAGATTTTAGCTACACAAACAAATGCTCAGACTTTACCAGCTGTTTGATGTTATTCTGTTGCTCCTGCATGGTGGAAAGAAAAGAGTTTGTGTCCTCTTCATTAAGCGTATCCTCCTCCTGGTCCTGATAGCAACTAAGAGCATCAAACTTTGTCTTTAAAAAAATGAACAGAAATTGAAATGTCTGTAACTTCTTGCTTACCGTATTAAAACATGAATCCATGTCAGTGTATTACTATATCTTAAAAGTTCATTCTCTTACCTCACTAGATATGCTGGCTTTTCTGTTGAACATTAAAAAGTGTGGTGTAAATTTTGTCGTAGGGTTGACTGATGTCCTGAAGATGGCCAAAACTGGATCAAGAAAATCATCCCATTCTACCTGTTTCTCCACCACCATCTGTTTTATGGCATCTCTCAGCAGATTACTGCTGCGATCATACAGTGCGTTCCTCTGCGGCAGATCTACTGGCACCACTCTTAATGCTATGCTCCATCGGTCACACAGGTGCTTTGTAACCTAAAATAATGAATAATAATAATGCTATGAAAATAGAGTTAATCCCCTGTTTTGCATAAAAGTTTGGTATTTCAACAAAAGTTTTTACCTCCTCACAGAAGTCAGCACTTTGAGAGCAAAATATTGTCTTTGCAGGGCCAAATCTGAAAAAAAAAAAAAAACATTTTAGCATATCAGCATATTTATTCTTTATTAATGGTGCAATGTAACCTCACCTGCAAATAGATGATGAAATGCATCGTGCAATACAGAGACCATCTTTCTTTTGTACAGGAAAGGCCTCTACCCATTTACTGTAGTAATCTGTAATAATAACAATGTGTGTATTCCCTCCATGTACAGTTCCTGGGAATGGACCTGTTTTCAAAAACAGCAAGTGAAGACATTTGGTTACGCTCTAGAAATTTGTCCTGCTAACAAATTAGACATCTTAAAAGTCTCTTACAAACTTTTACCGATTATTTCAATGGCCAAAATGTCCCACGGACCATCCACCTTTATGGGTCGTACCGTTCTGGCTAGGTTTTTACTCCGCTCTGTGTGTTGACAAGTTTCACATACTTTAATCTGAAAAAGATGATTCAGTGACGTAGATAAACGTAAACACATGTAGATAAATAATATGAGAGTGACAAACACATCCATTCCTAAAAGTATCAGGATAGTGATATCCACATCATACCCAATCCACAACATCCTTGACAATGCCAAGCCAGTAGTATTTACTCTGAATCCTGTGAACAGTCTTCTTCTGTCCCAGGTGATGCCCAATGTCATTGAAGTGACACTCCAGGAATATTTGTCTCTTTCGCTCTGCCTCAATCACTACTTCTCGCTTTTCTTCTTTCTTCGGTCCCACATAATATAACCGGCCATCTATTGAATTTATGATAGAGAAAGGTTAGAGAGGTAATAAAACTAAATAAATCACTAATCACTCAGTAAGACCAACTAAACCGTTAAAAAAGCGTGGAACGTTGCTTATGTTGCTTTTAAAGACTGTTTTATATACTAGAATAGACTGGATAAAATGATCAACTCAAACATCAGGAGGAGATTTGTATTCAACAAATACTCAATATGAAGGCTATGTACTAGTAAATAGTTTCAGTAACCCCCATTATTAGCTTATATATTGAAACCAAGAGCAATTTAAAAAAAATTAAAAGCATGTAGTGTAAATTTTACAAAAAAGGGTAAAAACTATGTGATTATGTCTGGTGATAATTATATGGCAATATATTGACAATTCCTAGACAGGTGAATTTTAAATCTAGGATAATGTTAATTGTTTATACTATTTTATAAATATACTAAGTTAACACATAACAGGCCAATATATAGGTATGACATAGCCTACAGGTCTGCCAAAGTTAAACTTTACAACATTGTTTCCAGGAAATAACGTTACTGTAAAACACTAAAAGATTAACAACAGATTACTGACATTCAGAATGTAACATTTGCAAGCTTTGCTCTCACCGTCAATCATAAATTTCTGAGCATATCTTTTGAGATTTTTCTTGCGAATAGGGTTCATGGTTTGAGGATAACAGCCCTCGGCAACAAAAGTGTAAATGTCCCCCAGTCTGTTTGAGCTGGACTCCACCACCTCCTCTTCGGCAACTGGCAACGAGTCCACACTCAACATTCTGCTGCGAATACACGGTCCCAGGATTTAAATACATAACAGATGGTACAGCTAAATAATCGTCCAATTTTAAAATTCAAAACAACAGAAGCGATTTGCCTTGTACTTGCGCGTGCACATACACTACACAACAATACTCGGACGGAAGGAATTGAGTGACGTACCAGGAAGTAAACTTAACATTATCTTTTATCACTCTTGGTATGTAGCTATCGCTCTTTTCAGATACGAACTGATACAAAATTTGCCTAGAATATTTATACTCATATACTTGAAAAACAAATTGTAGTGTTATCAGAGGTTTTGCGAAACTGTTTGTTTCTTTACGGACATATTTGTGGTTGTTCCAAAACAATCATTGAGTAACGTTAGGCGGAGCTCTGAACAGATTGACAGTTCAACTTCAAACTGGTCTGGTTACTCTGGTCGAAATGTGTTCTTGTTCGCTTAAAATCTTTCAAAAGTCGTAAATATTACGTCTGAATAAATATATAGCAGTATGCAGTTAGACTCGGAGTAGTCAAATCTCAATAATACACCATGGAGAGATTTTACACATGCAGTTGCTTTTTCAGAGATAATATTTTTCTTGAGGAATACAAACTTCATGTTCGTTTCGTCTCAGAAAGCCAGTTCAGGAATGATTATCAAAATGTAAGTGACAACACTGGCTAATGCCTTCATGTTAAATACTTTGCCATTTCTCTCTGAACACCATTGACATTTGCTTAAGATCCTCAGATCCCTGGGCTGTGTGTCTGAGTCTCAGTTCAGAGACGTGATTGGAAAGGTGAGTGAGCTCTCGAGAGCAGAAATCCCTCTTGCGGTAACGTTGGAGATCAAGGCTGTCAGAGTGTGCTTATTTACTCCGTCGTGTATTTATAGATTCATGCAGAAATTGAGAGACGCCAGAATCATAAATTGAAATCAGCAGAGAGAGCAGCTACCATAAAGGAGATTTATACACCTCTACATCAACATGTTTATCATCTACATGTAAGTTACATAGAATCAGCAGTACGGGTAGTCTATGATTAAAATCTTTCATTGATATACTGTAATGCCATTTATCCCCTGCAAGGAATCATTCCTGGCCCCAGAGCTTTTACAGCTGGTCAAATACTGTGCTTCAAGTGATGCAACCGTGGAAGGACTAACGTTATTGAAACTCATCCAGACAGAAGCAGGTGAGCTTCTTTACTCATGCTCCAATTTAGACCGTTTGACCATCAAATCATGGGAAATAAATCACGTCAACAAAAAAATTCTGTTTACTTTATATTTTGCAGCACCAAGAGTCTTCAGATTCCCAGTGTTCAGAAAGGAATTCTGCAATGACCTTATTGAAGAGCTGGAGCATTTTGAACAGTCTGATGCCCCAAAGGGCAGGCCGAACACCATGAACAATAATGGGGTACAAGTTTTTATCAATATACACATAACCAGTTCTCATGTGGTTGAGATTGCCATCAAAATGCAGACTAATATATTGTTCTTTGTTTTATGCCAGTCGAGTCATAATAGTAATAACAATAATTTAACATCTCTAAACAAATTCAGATTCTTCTTAATGAACTGGGCTTTGATGAGAGCTTCATCACCCCACTGAGGGAGGTGTATCTGCGTCCACTCACGGCTCTGCTCTACAGCGACTGTGGAGGAAGCTGCCTGGACAGTCACAAGGCTTTCGTGGTCAAGTATGCTATGCGTGAAGATTTGGAACTCTGCTATCATTATGACAACGCTGAAGTCACTCTAAACATATCACTGGGGAAAGACTTTACAGAGGGCAACCTGTTCTTTGGAGGCATGAGACAGGTGCTTATAAGACAACTTTTTGAGATTTCCCAGACAGGGTTCTTTGAAATTGAAAATCTGTTTAAAATCTGCTTGTAACGATAACTAGAGCAAAATTATAATTCAATTGGAATTTTATATTTTCCTAATATGTCAATACTCTAATTATGGGTATAAAAAGATGCTGTCAACTTAATACAAACAAAATACTTAATTTCAGATTTTTTTTCAAGATGAATTTTTTTATAATACATTCAAATATACATTTTATAATAGGCATTTTAATGATTTGGTAAGGCTTAAGAGCAGTGACTATAAATGACAATTATTTACCACGTGGTCTTCATAATATCATCTCTAATATTTTTTCACACACAAACTAGTATAAATCAGTCAATATATATATATATATATATATATATATATATATAATTATATTATTATTTTAGAAAAGGGTTCCCTCAAACTAGGGGGTCCTTTGCATCAAAAAGTTTAGTGTAGTCTTTTGTTTAATGCATACAAGCTGTTGAAATGAAATATTAGTATCACATTCCCCATTCAACTACCCTAAAAGAGCAAGCAAATAATTTCTTCAAGAAGAGATTTTATTTCATGATTATAGAACACATTAGTTCACTTTACAAAGACACTAACAGTTTTGGATGAAACATCACAATCATGCGGCCTAGTAATGTACGATAAAGATGTATTTACAGTGTCCTGACTGCGCGTTTGTCTTAGGTGCCTCTGAGTGAGACGGAGTGTGTGGAAGTGGAGCATCACGTGACTGAGGGTCTGCTTCACAGGGGCCAGCACATGCACGGCGCTCTGCCTATCTCTTCAGGCACACGCTGGAACCTGATCATATGGATGCGAGCTTCACGTGAGAGGAACAAACTCTGCCCTATGTGTGGTAAGAGACCCACGCTAGTGGAGAGTAACGGATTCAGCGATGGCTTCACTATGGACCCTGATGGTGACACTAGTAGAAATGTGTCATGTTCTTTAACATGATGTTGTTCAGTGCTGTTTTTGTCTAATTTATGGTCCTTTGCTCAGTAGTTTGGCAATCAGGACAAAATATGCTTTTCGTCCAGTGTGCCTTTTTCAAAATCAGTACCAAAGGCGTAAATGTTGTTTTATATTATTGGGTAATTTTGACTGCAAATGACCTGATTAAATATTCAGTTGATTGTAAATGTAGTGGTTTTAAGCCTGCTACTGTATTTTAGTCCGTATCTTATCTTAGGATGAATTATTAATATATACAAGGGATTTTTGATGTACAATAAACAAACAGAAAAACACATTCTAATGTATATGGCTCATATGTACAAAAACATAATTTCAGTAAATATTTTTAGTCTTAATTTTTAAACCTTAACCAGAATTCAAGTTGTCAGGAGACAGAATTATTGCATCTTAAAACAGTTATTTTCTTCCTCCAGAGGTTAAATCTCATCAGCATCAGCAAACATCATCCATCATTTGCAACCTGCCCAGTTTCACATAGTCATGCACAGAATATAAAAATACAGACAAAACATCCCGCTTACACCTAACACTGCACACACAAGCATTCTGAAACGTTCAAACAAACAAAATGAAAGGCCAAAATCTTTTCTTTTTTTTTTGGTTGTTTCTTTCCCCAACTTTGATTTTTGAGTGTTATAAGCAGGAAAAGAAAGGGAAAGCAAGGAAAAGCATGACTTCGGAGAAAGGCAACACTACTAGACCCAGAGGTATAAGCATTTAACGGGGAAAACAAAATCATAATTGTAAATCTCTGTAATCAATCATATTATCAAAGATACTGGAATCTTGAAAATAAAGCTGATCTAGTTTTCACATTATCTATGGTGTTATATTGATAACAATTAGTTCAATTTACTGAATTTGCAGCAAGTTTTAATTCCTTTGGCTTTTAAAATAAGAAACAAAAATCCATATTTGATGCATACATAGCATAAATTATACACTCTGGCTCAATGTTTACCCTTTAAAATAATTCAACCACTGACTTCTTATGCCATGTCACAGTTGTGCTATAAAGTGTTGTCTGATCCACTCTGTATCTTAAGTTAAACATGAACATGTATTAGCAACACAGTAGCTTCAAACTAGCTGAGATGGAGCGTCCAATATTCCACACTTTTCACAGCTCCACTACTGGAGATTTGACATTATAGTGTTGTTTCGCTGCTCATGTCCCTGTGATCCCTGTGTCTGCCTCTAGGGTTAATATCTGCATCTTCATAGTCGGACTCCATCTCAATCTTCACCTGGGGCACGGGGCAAGACATCCCTCTGGCCAGTGGCATCGACGGGGACGATGGACAGGAGATCTTCAGGTGCAGAGTGATGCTGTGGAATGGCAACTTCCAGTTACAAGTGTGAGGAGGAGGAAAAGGAGGAGGAGGAGAGGGTTATGGCAGGGATGGAGGTACAGCTGAGCTGAGTATCAGGATGGGGAGCAGGGAGTCTGTATTAAGATTATAGATGCAGGTGACAGAGACGGTGTGACTGCACAAATGTTCCAGGGGAAAGATTTGGGATCAGGGCACACCCAAATCAGAAAGAAGGCTCAGTATGATGTCCTATAGTGTTTCATATTATGCGTTAAGGAGATAACTAACGTGTTTAAATGCCATAATTACTTGGGCCATAAACAATAAGGTTCTACTTTAACATTAATTAATGCATTAGGAATCAAAATAATTTTGGTTATGTTATTTTTTACAAATATAGAATATATAAAGTAACATTACATTTTTTGACAGGAATGTTAAAAAAATGGTCAGTATGATTTTAAATTTTAAATTAAACCAGTCTTATTTTTTCTCCAAGGCAGCATTTATTTGATCACAAATACAGTAACTAAAGTAATATTGATAAGGGTTTTCTATTTCAATATATTTTAAAATGTAATTTATTCCTCTTATGGCAAAGCTGAATTTTCATATTAGCTGATTTGTTCAAATATTAAAAAGTTCTGCGGCTTAATATTTTCAGGATTTTTTTTATTAATATAAAGAGCAGCATATATGTGTATATATATAATTTTTTGTAGCAATGTAAAAGTCTTTACTGTCAGTTTTGACCAATTTAACATCGTTGCTGAGAAAAGTGTTAACTTAAAAAAAAAACTTACTGACCTCAAACATTTGAACAGTAGTACAAAGCTATTGCATATAGAAAATACAAAAAGTGTTGTTATAAAGAAAGACGATTATGAACAATGGTATATTTATAAATAATATTATCCTAGATTAAAAAATTATATAATACCTAATAAAATATCTAATGCAATAACTAAAGTTAACAAATCACCATTAATACTAACACTTACTATTCTATATATCCATTTTTTTTTTAAACTTGCTACGTGTACTGTGCTAGACTAACTGGGACTAGTCACAGCATTTGCATATTGTTGCCCAATTGTTAACATGATTGCTTCTATTGTTCTCCTCATTTGTAAGTTGCTTTGGATAAAAGCGTCTGCTAAATGATTCAATGTAAATTCAACCTTTGTTAAAGTGAAGACTTCATCCAAACCATGCCCCCTGAACAGCAATGCAGACATGAAACCCAGCAGATTTTACATTTCTACATCAGAGTGATACAGAGGAATGCATTTGGATACGTAAATGGGTTTTGGATATAGTGTAAGAAAAACCAGGCTGGGAAACCTTCATAAAACAAAACATTCTGTATAAGCACTCTTATTGGGACCACAATCACACAGGAGAAAGAAACAACCAAAATTCCTTGAAAGAAGTAAAATACATTGTTACATTAATAATCACTTTATATCTACTAAAAATGTAAAGTTTTAGCAAAAAAAGTAAACCAAGTAGGGTACATTAATATATTCAAATAACTTTTCTCACTGGCATCTTTCCCAGTATTTCAGGTAAATAAACTGAAACTGTACACACATCTAATTATGCAAGTTAAGTAATTATTATTTATGTATGCCGTTTCTTTGGGTGTGAAAATGTAAAATGAAAGTAAAAACATATGAATAACAATAAATAAATAAAAAATTATAACAGCATGCAAAGTAAAATACTGGTGGATGCATGAAAACAATTCTATCTGCATTGCTTCAAAGCGCATGGCAAGGGAAAAATCTATAGGTAAATACTCAAATAATATATGGCAAAATACTGTATACAGGGGATTGCATGACATTTTATTGGTCTTAGCAGTTATACATTTAATATTCTGAGCTGCCTCTCAATTAGCATCTACTACTATGTAAATATTAATGCAATATTTAGTATTATTAAATGTAGAGTGGTAGTGAGTGGAAGTGTATTTAAGAGGAAATGCTCATTTTAAAAAATCTAATAAAGTAAGTATCAGTGGTAGTAATTGCCTGGTTGGCATCGTGCCGCCCACTCTGAGTTCGAGTCTGGCGCCTGTAGGAGGTCACGGTAGGGAACGTGTAGTTTGAGCACACAGTACCTGCGATCCAAGTCTGAATCACTGGGGGAGCAGTTTGTATAAGGTTGGTACTTGTCCTGTGGGCCAAAGAATGGAGAAAGATAAGTATCTGCATGTGCAGAATGTGTCAACTTTGAACAGTACAAAGGCTTTTCTCCACCAGAAGGTGGCACCAGTGAAACACAATGCAATAGTGGATCTGAAATATAGACCGTTTTTGGGTGAAGACCAAAGATGACTTTAGTCCAGTCTGCACTCTCAGCTTGGGTTTTCAGGCTACTAAAACACTTACTTCTTCTTCACCGACATCCCCTGCTTTGCCTTTCTTTTTGTCCTTCTTGGTGTTCTTTTTGTCCTCATCCTTTTTCTTCTTTTCCTTCCCAGGCAGGATGTCGTCCACCCATGCCAGATCGTGTTGAGAAAAGACCATGTCCAACATCTTTCGTACCACCATGAGACCAAGAATCTGAGGGATCGAGAGACAGAAACTGTTTATTAGTAACTTTAATGTTCATTGTCTTTAAAAACCTAGAGAGGTGAATTAAATGCTTAATCACAGAATTTCAGTTGATAAACAGAGTGGCCTATTCACAGTGTGATTGAACTACAAAGTGCAATCATACAAAGTACAATGATCCTTTATATCCAGAAAGCTTGAAACTTGTATTGTTTTACGAGTCATGATATACATGAGTGCTTACGGGATTATGTGTGGCAATATAATATGTTACCATACCATGACCGGGAAGATGATAGCGAGGAATGTGGATTTGAGGACCCAGAGAACAGCTAAGCACACAATCTGCACCAGTGTGAACAGGTGGACTCTCCTCAGCGGCACATGACGCAGGTATGAAAAGTCTGGCTGGTGTTTTGCTGGCATCATGATCAGTTTGATCCTATCCCAGAACTACAAAAGACCAAATGTTTGATTAGATATACAGTGGACAAAAAGGGAAAATCTGTCATTATTTACTCAACCTCATATCATTCCCAACCCAAATACTCTTTCAATCTAATGAAAGTGAATAAGGACCAGGCTTGTTGAGTTCCAAAAGGACACGTCAAACCAATCTGATTCACTTTACAAAATGTATCGATCTGAATGATTTGTTCACAAATTGGATGGATCTGGTTCTCAAATGACTTAATGATCTGGTTGCAGTTCACTTGAGGGGAAGATTATTAGTGAATAACAACTTACATTTTGATCTTTTCCTCACATAAAACTATCGAATGGCTTTAGAAGACTTTAAATGTAGCGCAAGAGTCATATGGATGACTTTTTATGATGTTTGGGTCCTTTTTGTAGCTTGAAAACAAAGTCATTCGTGTTTGAAACGACAGGATGAGTAAATAAATTTTCTTTAAACATGTACTGATTTTTTCTTCCCTCTTTTTTAGTCAAATTTGTTCCCCCTCACTTATTTAAGACAATTAGTAATTCACATTCCAAAGCTTGTCACATAAAAAAAGAACACTTTTAAGTTTAAAGACAACATCAGCTCTCAGGCATTTAGCCTCAAAGCACTATTAACTTAAATACATTTGTATTCATTCAGTATAGTTACAGTCTCCGTTCAAGATCCATAATTTTGCCATTGTCCTCCTCTTGTTCTCTAGCTGACATTAAACTAGACTACTAGAGCACAGCAAAGAAGCACCTGGCCACTGCCAAGCTACAAGAGGGTGGATTCTCACTGCAGTCTGACAGCCTCATCAAAATGCAGCTCAAAATTGCCTCAGTAAACCCAGCCAGCATGCAAATATCCATTCCCACAACACCACACTCTTCTTACCCTGCACTGTCACAGAGTGGAGAAATCACTCATTTCTAATCACTAAACACAGTTGTAGAGTGCATACAAATGAGTGTTCCACTCACACTCAAAGTACAAGTTGTGATGTTTTCCTTGTAAAGTTTGCTATGATATTAAAACTTTGCAAGTACATTGGCTATTAGAGCTGTTCCGGAGGGAGGAGGGGTTGAAAAAGGTTATATCCCTAATGGCACTTACTTGGATGCCACTGAGAGAAGCAACACCCATGTAGAGGAACACTCCATACAAGACTGGCATAGGAATGAACTATAAACAGAAAAAGTACACTTCAGCTGCCAAAGCAACAGCAGTTACACTTAAAGTCAGCATGAAAACAAAACGGACCCTATTTAATCATATAACAGTTTAAAAACATTTCAACTGCATTTAAAGTCACATGAATAATAACAATAAAAAATGTTGTTGAATGCCATGGCCATAAGTGTAATTTCATCCGACCAATTGAAGATGACTTTCAGGACGATATTCTATGTTCACTTTAACTGTTTTAGAAATTCAGTATTTTAAGTAAATACATACAATGTAAATGTCCAAAAGTTTAGGGTCAGTAAGATTTATAATCATATAGCAAGAATGCATTAAATTGATCACAAGTGACAGTAAAGACAAAAAAAATATTTCAAATAAATACTCTTTTAATCTTTCTATTTGAAGATTCCTGAGAGGGGGGGGGGGGGGGGGGGGGGAATATCAGTTTCCACAAAAAAAGATAGTACAGCTAAAGCAGAGTAGATCATACAGACATCTTCAGTGAACATTTTTTATGATAATAATGGCTGATCTACCCTAAATGTTAGGTCAAGTCAGTATTAATTATCTCTGTCATTTCAACAAGCTCACTTGCAGAATGGGCGCTAAGAAGATAGACACTCCTGTCATCACAAACACCAGGATTCCTGTCAGTCTTTGTTCTCTGTAATTGGAAGAGAAGCAGAACAAAAATAAAAGAGAGTGGAGAACTGTGATATATGTACTGAACAGCCACAATTTATTCAATGTATTTGTGTCATTTGTGTTGTAACTATACCGTGCACAATAACAATGTAGCTACAAGCTACTTATGTTACTTTGGTAGCCACTTAAGCAAACACGTTTAGTGTTTAGTAGGCATTTTTTACTTAAACATAACAATTGTCGATTAACACCAGACATGTAAACAGTACATAAAAGTATTTCAGTGTTCCCAACCATCTACGGTACATTTTGAGGTTTGACTTCTGTTCCATGTACATTAATTACCATTTGGATATAAATGTGACCCTGGACCAAAAAAACAGTCACATGGGTCAATTTTATGAAATTGAGATTTATATGAATAAATAAGCTTTCCATTGATGTATGGTTTTTTAGGATACAGAGATACAACTATTTGAAAATCTGTAATCTGAGGATACAAAAAAATCGATCATTTTGACCCATACAATGTATTGTTGGCTATTGCAACAAATATACCCGTGTGACTTGTGACTGGTTTTGTGACAAATGTGGTCCATCTGCTCATGTAAATTAGATTTTATGACAATCAAGTTTTGATAGCCCACTCTCATTAACCATTTTATAATTTATGGCTTTTATTAAAGGAAATACTTAATGTCGTTAGCTAAAAATCACTTTTGTTTTTTCTGTATTGAGCCAATCAGAAACTATCAGTGTTGAGACCTTCTATGGTTGCCATGTCTGTCTCACCTCACACCCAGGAACTGTGGCTGTTCCCCTGGAGCACTAGACTCGCTCTCCATCTTCAGCGAGTCAATGTGAGCGATGGATATGACAGTGGCTGCCACGTACCACGGCAGGCCCATAAAAGAGCAGGCTGCCATCAGAATGCCCACCCACAGTAGATCCAGGTGATACCCACAACCTTTCTGTAACAAACAGATAAGGAAATGTAAGGAAGTCAATGGAAATGAAAAGAACAGGAGTGATTAGGGACCTTCTCACTGCATGGATACCTTTAACTTATTTTCCTTGCGGTTTACAATGACAGCACTGATCTGCTGATCCATGAAGATGAGGATAGTTACGAGGAGAGCAGGGACGGAGCTTGCCAGGTAAACCCACCACGGATTCTTTCCGAATGGCATCACAAACCAACCCCGGTCAGGGCGTGTGGGCTACATGATTTGAAAATAAAATAACCAATACACCTTTGAGAAAAACTAAAGAAGAAGCTTTATAGTCACAAAAAAAAATCAAGATCAGTTTCTTTCTTCAGAACATGCGAGTTACTCTCACCTTGAACTCTGTGGGCACAATGAGTTTGGGTGTTTTCAAACCTATAAGCATGTCCAGCCCCACAAACGTCATGATGGACATGAAGATGGAGAAGTCACTAATTAACTTCCTCAGCTTGATAGAAACAAAACATATTAAAATAATAAATAAAACACATAGCTGCAGCTTCTGAAATATAGCACAATGCCGTTGAAGAGATACGTATAACATACTGGTCTGCAAGCCTGCCACCTTTCTATGAATTGCACAGTTTTGAATGCAAAAATGAAAGAGTTATTTATTTATTTAATGCTTGCACTCAGAGACTGAGAGACTGATGCATGCTTCCATTCCAAACACATACACTGCGTCCAAAATCAAATACTTCCCTACTATATAGTATGCAAAAAAGTATGCCAAAACTGTACAGTAGTATGTCTGAATACCTATTTTTAAAAACTGTAGGCGAAAAAGTCCCCAGACGACCTACTACTTTGCCGAGATTCTGAATCTGAAGTACGCATTTGATAGACACTATAATAATAATCATCATAACTTCTATAGCGCCTTTAAAGGAGCTTCTTTAAAGTATTTTAAAGGGTAGATAATAAAAATACAAAGGAAATACAATTACATTACTATCCCATAAGGCCACAGGAGAGGATTTATGAATGGCAGTAAAGTGATGCAACTGATGCTGGTAGGTCATTCATACTCTGTAGAACATGCTTTTTTAACTGTCGCGAAGTAAGTTCAAATATAGATGTAGCACCTATACTTAGACGGTATGCAATTTCAGACATAGTGATATAATAAATTAATGTCACTATACTGTATAAGACACCATATACGTGCAATAAAGAATGTATTAAGGACTGCAACAGTCATTTATACCGTGTCGGTTATGCGTTTATACCGTGTGATCAAGCTTTGTTATATATATTTGGAAGTGTAAATATAATACACTGATTATGTTTTTACTGTAATAATTACTACAAACTTATTAGTTTTCCAAACTATTTTTTTGTCTATTTAAAAGATCCAACCAAATCAGTCAAGCGCCCTGTAACAGAACGCATAAAGGATGTTGTAGTCACATTACTCTTGTACTAATGGTGTTGATAATAAAATATATGGAATAATTCTCTGTTATACTCTTTAAAACAAATTTTTTTTTAAGTGACATTAATATAAGTTCCCCTTCGTCAGCTCACTATGACGTACGCCAGAAGTGATTCTGACGAATGGGGATCTCGCTTGAGAGCCCATCTACTTCGAGTGTAACTAAACGAGGCAAACTTTTTCAGAGGCTCCTGGGGCATATGGCATCCGCAGCCGCAGTAACCCGCTCGGATTGCTGCATATGAGACCGCTTCAGCACTGGCTTCACGGCCAAGTCCAGAGATTAGCGTGGCAGAGCGGCACGTACCGGGTGCACGTCACCCCGCACTGCCTCCAAACCTTCAACCCGTGGTCAGACCCTTCGTTTCTACGGGCAGGTGTTCCCCTAGAACAAGTGTCCAGGCATGCTGTGGTCTTCACGGATGCCTCTGCCACCGGCTGGGGGGCCACGTACAACGGGCATACAGTTTCAGGTTTGTGGACGGGGCCTCAACTGCATTGGCATATCAATTGCCTCGAGTTGCTCACAGTACGCCTTGTGCTGGGCCGCCTCAAGGGGCTGCTACATGGCAAGCGCGTACTGGTCCGTACGTACAGCACTGCGACCATTGCGTACATCAACCGCCAAGGTGGTCTACGCTCCTGCCACATGTCGCAACTCGCCCGCGATCTCCTCCTATGGAGTCAGAAGCATCTGAGGTCGCTTAGTGCCATTCACATCCCTGGCATGCTCAATCGGTCCAACTGATATGGGACTTCTTCGGAGCCGCTCAGATAGATCTGTTTGCCTCTCCGGACTCGACCCATTGCCAGTTGTTTTATTCCCTGACCGAGGGGACCCTCGGCACGGATGCACTGGCGCACAGCTGGCCCCGGGGCCTACACAAGTATGCGTTTCCTCCAGTGAGCCTTCTCGCACAGACACTGTGCAAAGTCAGGGAGGACAAGGAGCAGGTCTTGTTAGTTGCGCCGTATTGGCCCAACCAGACCTGGTTCTCAGAACTCATGCTCCTCGCGACAGCACCTCCTTGGCCCATTCCTCTGAGGAAGGATCTGCTTTCTCAGAGACGGGGCACTCGATGGCACCCGCATCCAGACCTCTGGAAACTCCATGTCTGGTCCATGGACGGGACGCGGAGGTTCTAGGTGACCTACCCCAGGCGGTGGTAGACACCATCACTTCTGCTAGAGCCCCCTCAACGAGGTGCCTCTATGCACTGAAGTGGAACCTGCTCGTTGAATGGTGTTCTTCCCACCGGGAAGACCCCCCAAGATGTCCGATCAGAGTCGTGCTTTCTTTCCTGCAAGATGGGTTTGAGCGAAGGCTGCCTCCCTCCACCCTCAAAGTGTATGTTGCCGCTATCGCCGCACATCACGATGCAGTTGGAGGTAAGTCATTGGGATAGCATGACCTGATCGTCAGGTTCCTCAGGGGAGCGAGGAGACTGAATCCACCTTGCCTCCCCTCTATAGCCTCTTGGGACCTGTCTCTGGTGCTCAGCACACTGTAGAGACCTCCTTTTGAACCACTGCAGTCAGCTGAGTTAAAGGGTTAGTTCACCCAAAAATTCTGTCAGTAATTACTCACCCTCATGTTGTTCCAACCCCGTAAGACTTTCGTTCATCTTCGGAACACAAATTAAGATATTTTTGATTAAATCTGAGAGCTGGATCACTCCTCCATAGGCTTCTTAAGGGATCGAAACTGGCCGGCCCAAAAGTTATGAAAGACATCGTTAAAATAGTCCGAGTGACTACAGTGGCTCAATCTTAAGTTTATCAAGCGACGAGAATACTTTTTGTGCGCAAAAAAACAAAAAAAAATAACGACTTTATTCAACTATTCATTTCCTTCTCTGTGGGCCGTGAGATTTCACGTAGTGATACTGTGCAAAGCTTCTGTGTTGCACGTTACACGTAGGCTCACTATTGGCCGACGCTGGTCATGTGTGTGATGCGTGTGACGTACAACCTAGAAGCTTTGCGTAGTTTCACGATGTCTTTCATAACTTTTGGGTCGGCCAGTTTCGATCCCATAAGAAGCCTATGGAGGAGTGAAACAGCTCTCAGATTTAATCAAAAATATCTCAATTTGTGTTCCGAATATGAACGAAAGTCTTAAGGGGTTGGAACAACATGAGGGTGAGTAATTACTGACAGAATTTTCATTTTTGGGTGAACTAACCCTTTAAAGATCCTGTCACTAAATACAGTGCTCCTGACTGCTCTGGCTTCCATCAAGAGGGTAGGGGACCTGCAAGCATTTTCGGTCGACGAATCGTGCCTAGAATTCGTGCCAGCCAACTCTCACATTGTCCTGAGACCCCGGCTTGGATACGTGCCCAAGGTTCCTACCACTCCCTTCAGGGATCAGGTAGTGAACCTGCAAGCGCTGCTTTTGGAGGAGGCAGACCCAGCTCTGGCTTTTCTCTGTCCCATCCGCTCCTTGCGGATATACATAAACAGAACGCAAAGCTTCAGAACCTCAGATCAGCTCTTCGTCTGTTACGGAGGCCAGCAGAAGGGAAATGCTGTCTCCAAGCAGAGGATGCCTTGCACGTTCGGGTTGCGAGCACACTCAACTAGAAGTGTAGCTTCCTCCTGGGCACTGGCTCAAGGCGCCTCCCTGACCGATATTTGTAGAGCTGCGGGCTGGGCGACACCTAACACGTTCGCTATATTCTATAGCCTCCGTGTAGAGCCGGTATCTTCCCGTATACTCGCCCCCAGTGGCCAGTAGCGCGAAGGACCCATTCTTAGTGTCGGTTTGCAACGCCACTCATGCCCCGCTGGGCCGGATATGTGCGTCTATTTGCTCCAGTAGTGTTCCCCAGAAATGGCTAACCCTGTTGAGTTCCTCCGTCACCCCTGCGGCAGTCAGACGTTGCGGAGCATCTGACGCCAGGCTTACACTTGTATGCATTGTGGAACCTGTGCTAGGCTGGGAGTCCATATGTAGCGATCCCTGCGGTGACCCCATATGTGTATTCCTCCATGATCAGCTCCTCTGCGGATGAGCCCGTGTCTTTCCCTCAACAGAGCCCGCTCTGTCGTCTCTGCTGGTGTTCTTTCCCCCCTATAACTAAGCTGGACCCACCCCAGAGACTACCATATGTTGTACTACCCTGCTTGGCTAGTCCATATGTGTAACCGTCACAGTGTCTCCCTCCGGCGTAGGATGTGACTTCCGCAGCGTTCCCTTCCCCAAGGGCACGCTTTACCAGCGTTATCCAATAAGTCACACTGAGTGGGTCTTGCGGAACAGCAATGACTTTCTGCCCAAACTACGGTCAGGCCAGGAGGCTCAAGCGGAGCGCTGGAAGGGCCAGCAGCAGTGGCGTTTTGGTAGATATCCACATTCGTCAGAATCACTTCTTATGTACGTCATAGTGAGCTGACGAAGGGGAACATCTCGGTTACGTATGGTTACCTTCGTTCCCCGAGGAGGAAACGGAGACGTACGTCCCCTTGCCACAGTTGCTGAGCTTCCGCTGTACAGCCGAGTCACAAGTCCGGCTCCTCAGCGGAAAAACAAGGATGCGATGCACCTGACGCTCATTATATGCTCACTCCGCGATGCACAGCAGCTGGTGCAATTATCGCATGCCAATGTGCATCGACTCATTTAGTTACACTCAAAGTAGATAGGCTCTTGAGCGAGATCCCCATTCGTCAGAATCACTTCTGACGTACGTCTCCATTCCCTCCTCTGGGAACGAGGGTTACCATACGTAACCGAGACAAAGACGTTTTTGCGTGACACATGCATGATTACACCCACATCACATTGTTCACATTTCATGATTTTGCAGGTATAAAGCTCTTTTGATTGATCTAACACTATGAAAGATCCTACTGGTCTTACTAAATCCCATCAGTAATAAGGAAAATGCAGAATAAAAGTTAGAGACAGACAACTTTTCATAAACAAGATATAGTCAGACTCAAAGGTTTAGACAAAAGAGGAAATTACATGTCTAAGATAGCTACTAAGGACAAAGTGAAAATGGAAGAGTGCAAGTGTAAAAATCTGTTTTCGCAAGAGTTTGGTAAGAAAAAGGGCAAAAAATCTTCACTGGTATTACCTTTGTGGGAAAGTAGCGACTGAATTTAAACTTCTTCAGAGTGACAGTCATAGTGTAGGTCCCGAAGAACAAAATGAAGGACATGAGAGCAAGATCTGGAACATACTTGCAGGTTTTTCCCACCAGTGAGCCCCCATATTTCACACATTCCTTCTTACTCAACTGAGTCCAGTCCAGAGCTGTTACGTTTAACTGAGAAGATGGGAGAAACGCAGAGAAAAAAAAAGGTACAAATCAGGGATAGGAGGGAGGAATTTAGACAAAGCAAAGGATGGAAGGGTTGTGTGGTGGATAAATGGCAAAAAAGAGAAAAAGAGAGAATAAAACAGGACAGGACCAAAAACACAGAGTAATACAGCAGACAAGATCAGTAACAAAGGATGCATTTTAATTAAACTAATTGGATTCACTCATCATGACATAATACAAAAACACAAAATATCATTGTGGGCTATAAAATCAGTGATAGTTAGTGCAAATACAGTGGATTCAAAGGCTATAATCTAATCTGAGGTCATGCTAACACAAATGTTAACACAGATGTGAGTGAGGTGAAGACAATAGGCACTTACACCAAAGAGAGCAGAGGAATTATCTGGCACTGGGACTACAACATCGAAGATCATTGGTGCCACTGAACAAACAGAGAAAGGGAGAATCAGAGAGGAAAATAAGCAGAACGAATGGAAATCTGAAAAACACTTTGTTAGAAGGATTTATCCAGGATCAAAGCCAGCTTTGGCAAATGTAAATGACTGCAGGTGTAGCCCCACTAAAATTTTCATTTGGTTTTTGAAACAATCCAGCACACCTGAACTACTTTCAAAAGACCTCACTGCTAGTTTTCATTCACTACTGCAGGGCATTAGACTAAGTACAAACTGTCCAGGTGAAACTCATGCATATTGAAAGGTACTCACATCAATCAGCAGTCACGTTTGGGGTTTGCAGCAAAAACAAACATAACACAAATAAGTTACAATAATCACATGCACTCAGCCAGTTCTCTTTAAACACCCAATGGAACTTTGTTAAATCAAGAAATTAATATTTGACATATGAATGTATGCATATTGACAGTGCAGTGACTCCAAAGTGAAATGTATTCAGTAACACTTTACAATAAGGTTTGATTTGTTACCATAAGCTAATGTTTAAAGTATAATGAAATAACATTGAATCATACCTCTACAGCATTTTAATAATGTTCACAGTACATACACTATACCGTTCAAAAGTTTGGGGTCGGTAAGATTTTTTAAAATGTTTTTGAAAGAAGTCTCTTTATGCTCATTGCTCACCAATCATTATTTGATCTTGATCAAAAATACAGTAAAACAGTAATATTGTGAAATATTAAAACACTTTTAAATAATTATTTTCTATTTTATATATTATTTTAAAATGTAATTTCTTGTTATTCATGTGATGGCAAAGCTGAATTTCCAGACTGAGTTACATTTTGATTAAAAAAAAATTACGAGGAAAATCAACAAAAAAAATTAATTAAAAAAAAACATGGATGAAACATTTGCAATATGATAGTAGTTAATAGCCTACACCACCTGTCAATTTGATTGATTGTCAGGTGGGCGTGGCTATCCTTTGATCTTCCCCCGCCCCTTCCGGTTCCTCCCCTTCCTGCCCCGCCTCTTGTCCCGCCCCTTCCGGTTCCTCCCCTTCCTGTTACCTTTGACCTAGTTCCGCCCCTTCCTGTTAAACTTTCTGTCAAAATGATGGATGACGGCCTTTATCTAGTTCCGCCCCTTCCTTTTAAACTTTCTGTCAAAATGATGACAGTTTGTTTAATCGTTTGAAGTTAGTTTGAGATGTATTGACCTTGAATGTTAAAGTTACAAAACGATGGATTGTTACCTTTTATCTAGTTCCGCCCCTTGCGTTTACAGCTTCTGTCAAAATGACGGATGCTGGCAGTTTGTTTAATCGTTTGAAGTTTGTTTGATATGTATTGGACTTTGTTGTTACAATTACAAAGCGATGGATTGTTATTTTTTAGCGCATCCCCCCGCTATGCCTAAGCTTATCATTGCAGGTGTGTGTGAAAGTGATAAGAAAAAACTGGTATAGTTTATCTGTTCTTTAAAAGAATATAAAATAAAATCTTACATGTTTAGAGAGCAGGGGTTTTCTTCCCACACGGTAGCGCCGGATCTCTCTGAAAACTATCTCCAATTATATATTTTTTTGGACCGTAACCAGCTAGGGAGTCGTTTGTGTGTGTGTGTGTGTGTGTGTGTGTGTGTGTATATGCGTGTGCACGCGTATGTTGAAGCAGCATGGATCTCCTCCCCTCCCTCCACATTGCTGGGGACCTTGAAAGTTTATCTCACACAGAAGTTGAAAAAGCATGTTGTTCATTTAAAATCTTACTAAATTACTGAAGTTGAAAAGCATTCTATTCCTTTAAAAGTGTATAAATTAAAATATATCATATATAAAATAAATAGTTTACTAAATTACTGAAGTTGAAAAGCATTCTGTTTATTTAAAATAAATATTTTACAAATTTACTGTACCAAATATGTTAGATTTAGATAAAAATAAAAAACATCTTGCATTTTTACCAGGGTTGAAGTAGCTCATATCACATAGATGTCCATATTGACCATTTAAAGTTTAAAAGAACCGCAGAGTATTTCTCTCACTCTTACACCAGCGTTTGACAGTCATAGGGGTGTGTTCAGTGATCAGAATGAGACTGTGAATGTTTTGCTAAATTTATTTCATAGTGTATAAGCATTAAAAGTTTGAAATAGACCTTTTTAAAAATATGATTTTAATTAAATTCAACGAATTCATAAAAAACAAATATGCTATATCGATGGTCTCTGGGGAAAACTTGACTATATTTTTTTATTTATCAGGGTGCATGTAAAGAACTTTGAAATTTGCGGCTCTCACAAGTTATCTCACACATTGTGTGAAAATGTTTAATAATTCCTCAAGTAGTATCTGTGAGAAAACCCCCACATAGGCCTATCTGTAGTGAGAGACCCCCATTGATAGCCTGCTTATAAGCTCCTTCCGATCACCAGCACATCTTCAGAGAAATACGTTACTTTATAATAATGTTAGCTTCAGGATATAGGATGACAGAGTAGATGAGCCTCTGTGCATCATGTAATGTTAGTCTGCTAACGCCTTTCCAGAGCCAAAGTTTTGTTCGTACTAAATTTATTTCAAAGCGTAATCGTAAACGTTTAAATATGAGCTTTTAAAAATGAAAAGATTGTTTAAATTAAATCTTTACAGTTTTAATACATTCGTATCTTTTAGAAGATTACTGTAATTATTTTGTTTAACGGTGACCTAAAGTATAATTGTTATTAATATAGCCATAATGATTTTTGTACTGTAACAGCATATTCTACCCCGTACACCTAAACACGACCATCACAGAAAATTGCATTTTTACATTGTTTTTTACATACTGTTTTGCACTGGTTCCATAAAATCAAATAAGTATATAACTCAATGTATAATGACAAATGTATTCAAACAATTTAACCTTAATTTTAGCTAAATTAATATATATATATATAAAAATGATATATATATAAATATAAAATAACTCACAATAGCTTCACACCCTCACAGAGACGAGAGGAGTGACAGTCCAGATGAGCCTCTGGGGTCACAATGCCCCAGCATATGCAATGCTAGTCTGCTTTTCAGAGGTTTATTCATATTAAACTCGTTTAAAAGCATAATCTTAAAAGTTTAAAATTGAAAAAAAACTGTTTAAATCAAATCTTTAAAGTTTTATTAAAATCGTATCTTCTATTTATCATCTTAGAAGACTTCTGTATGATATAAATGATTTTCATAAAGGTATTATTTTTACTAAACATTGTTTGCTCAAAAAATAAAAAATGTTATAAATCAAGAACTGTGCTTAGGCGTCTTAGATCTTATTTCAAATAGTTTTTGTCCATGCGACATGAAACATGTTGTCAAAGTTTGTCACAAAGTTTTTGTTTTAAAAGAAATCCCAGGACTCTACATTGCTCTTATTTAGATTAAGTTGTATCATTTAGAAAATCACCACACATTTTCAGCGACGCAATGTGCCTCTGTGCTCCATGACGCAGCATAAGTTTGTCTTGAGCGAATATTTAATTTTACTCGTCTTAATTCAAAGCATGTTCTTACTTTTTCTGCGGTAGCTACGACCTATTGTACGTATAAGATATATCATATTTACTTTTCTTGCATCTCTCAAACTATCCTTATTCATTGTGGAAGCACACAGGGTGAAACCCTTCACTGAGAATATACTATCGGTTATCTACTCAAAATATATGTAGAAGTTTAAAATGTTAGCATTTGTTGATGCGACAGGCCACATGAACAGACTTTGGGGAGAGCTGATGATACTATAGCAGGAAACATGCCCCTTTGACCTCCTCCATTTTTGTAGGCTTTTTGTTAAATACCCCATAGCTTAGTCCTTAAATGGTACGCTGTGTAGGAATTTCCCCATCTAGCGGTGAAATTGTATTTTGCATTCAAACGCATAGTGCTCTCTAGCGCTTCGCTTTTTCAAATGCAAGTTGCAACTACGGTAACCGCTATGTGCCAAGAAGCTACGACATGTCGTCCAATTGCACTTCATCGAGTTTAACTATACACGTTCTACCGTTATGTTGCCTATATAATGAATTACACAACCACGGAATGAAAAAGCTTGTAATTTAGACCATAACACTGACTTAACTGTCGACGAGAAAGCAGGACTTCAGTGTCCCTTTCAAAGTCTTTCTCCTTCATTAGCTCTATCCACCTGGGAAAAGCTATCCCGATATTTACCGTCGTTTTGAATTTGCCAGACACGTTTCACTTTAAATTAATTTTTTAAGCTTTATCATGGCTACGAGGATTGCATTATGAAGTGCCGTGCAATCTTTCAAATTTGCCGGGGGAGTGACAAGCGCATCTCACTGACCTTCTTGTGTCCGTTTCAGATGGTTTCAGTCAGCCGGCTCTAAACGAAAACGTGTTGTAGAAACGCGTTGAGGTAGCCTAGTGCTTTTTGTCCCTCTCCGCTATTATAGTTTTTCAAGATGGCGGAACGACATGAAGGGCTCCATGGACTTACCCGTCAGAACATTGGCAGAGCTAATTTTACACCAATGAGGTCATATTTATGAATAAAGCCATTGAGCTATAAAAATACTTTTTAAAATGTATTTAATTCCCCTTAAAACCAAAGATTAAGTTTAATGACACAACGGTCCACCCAAAATCAAATACTTTATACGATTTGTATTACACTTTTCAAAGGGTAATCTTACTTTAAAGTTTGAACAAAAATGTAAAAGCGCTTCTTCATTTTTGCCGTGTTCTGACACAATGTCATTAATTGGTACTTTTTTCCTTTAAACTTCTTTTAAAATATACTTTTCTTATTTATACAAAGGTTCAATTTCAATTCATTTCCTAGCAAGTATAAAGTAAAAAATATGATATATGATATGTCTGATGCAAAGTTTTTTTGCAAAAGAAATATGTGCCGCAAAACACCAAACAGTTCAACTCAGACGTAGACTAAAAATTCCCTTGGCTAGAAAAAATCTCTACAAAAGATCGTTTCTTCCTATGGCAGTGATTATC